ATAAATTAAATATTAAATAAAAATTAAATAAAAATTAAATTATATTATTATATTATTATACTAATGCTAATCAGCTTGTTTGATTTATCCACTTTTGGCTTTTGATTTTCTTCCTAATCTAAATTACTCTCTAGAACCTATAAATGTTCAATTATTGCTATAATAATTATATTAAAGAAGGTGAATGAAGAGTTGCACGGTATTAATTATGAGAAAAAATTTCACTTATTGCTCAAACAATAATAATGATGAATAAGGAGAATGAAGAGCTGGGGTAATAGTTATACTAAAAGTGGGAAGCTCCTATCTTAAAATTTAAATTATGATTTTGCCCCTATTATCAATCAAAATATTAAAAAATAACTAATTAATTAAATATTAATTATCGATAACCTCCTATTCAATATTTAATTACAAATATAGTAAAACCGATTATTTGTATATCTTCTCACTAATAAACTAATAATTTATCCTCACTTCTTTTTTATTTTTTTATATTCACAATTTAAGACTTTTTTGTGACCCTTTTCAAGTCATTTTAATGACACATTATATTCAACCAGAATTACTTTCATCTTCCAAATGTTATTACAAAGGTATCATTTATTGCCAATTCATTGTTATTTAATTATCAATTTTTTTTTGTTTGCAGTAAGTGTTTGTTTTTTAAATTACGGGTATTGCTTCAAAGAAAAAAGAAAACATGAAGAGGAAAGACCAAAATTTACATTTATCCCTAATAATTGTGGAACTTTTGGCTCCTCTTCCTTCAAGAATCAATTATTTTACTTATATATGATAGAGTAGTATCAACTTCTTCTATGATGCATCTTCAACCTTAATTAGGAGGTTTCTTACGTTTGATGATATATAATTTTTTCTTTCTATCATTCATGTTTTTTCAATTTCAAATGATATTTTATTAGATGCACTCTTTGATGTGGTGAGTTACATTATATTCTTGATATAAGATTGTCAGCTTGGATATTTATGGCCAAACTAGAGGAAAAAATATAGAGTTGATTGATAGCGAAGTTCATAGCCTCTCATAGAATTCAATTTGACTTTTATAAAGATACATATTTTTAATTATTTTCCTTATTATATTGTTAGTTAAATTATTTGTTATGGTGTATAGCTTCGAAATTTTTCTGTTTATTTAGTATTTAGGGCTTTTGATTTATTTAAGTTTCAATTTATTTTTTGATTAATTTTTTGTTACTTCATTTATTTAACCTAATTTTTTATCCTTACCTAAAGGAGTTTGTAGCTATAGTGCTATTGATTAATTTTTGTGTTGTTATGTTGTATGTTGTGTTCTGAGCATTTTTTTTGAATTTTATATTATGTATCACACACATTCAGATTTTTATATCTTTTTTGTGTGATTAAAAACATTGAACATATTAGAATACACGTGCAATAACTAGTTATTTTATTATATAGAAGAGTGAAGCCTAGGACGACCAAGGGCAATTATGAAAAATCTTATATGATTGAAGGGCAAAATGGTAATGTGTCATAGGATTAAAGAGCAACCTAGAACTTAGAAGTAGAGTCTAGAAGTATCTACTTCTCTTTCTCCTCCCAAGAGAACAAAATAACAGAGGCCAAGAACTTGTAGAACTCCACGACAAATAAGAACTTTCTCTTCGTCTTTTCCTCATTCTTGTGACATCAGGTATGCTTTCCATTCAAATTTATTTTGGTTGTCTCAAGTCTCAAGTTGATTTAACAAACCAAGCGAATTTGCTAAATTCATTTTGATTTTTACCTGCTTCTCCATTTTATTGCTCTTTTCATTTTACTTTCACTCTTTAATCGCTCTCTTTATTCTCTTTACTAGCATAACTGCCTCAATTAAAATATTAACGGACATTAGCATTATCAAATACTCAAACACCTTAATGGTATTCTTCCGGATGAACCAACACAAAAATAAGCTAACCTATTCATGGAATTAATCAATTGAAGCGGCTAACATGACAACAACAATGTAGACCAGTTAATACATCCCCATCCTGTTAAGCATAGTGAACATTGACACACAATAAGTACAAAGGACATAGCAGATTCATCTTCTATAGTAGATTTTTGCAACAAACAATCTATATAGTTGTGCCAAATATTTTTAATTGAAAAAAATAATAAAGCATATGTATATTCTCAATCATTATATTTTCACATGCGTCTCTCTGTTGACCTTATCATATCCAACTCGAGTTCATCAACAAAAAATGTACCTTAATTAATGGAGACTTGAACAATTATCACCAGTGTCAGCTACGTATTGCCAAATTTAATGTTCAAATGTTATCATCAAGTCAGATTTAGTTTTTAATCATCCAGAAAACTTCGAAATGGAAAATCTAAACTGAGATCCAAGCTTCAAAAATGGTGGATTTCGAAGCTTTCCACCAAAGAAATTTTGATTTGACGTGTAAATGCCACACCAAATCCAATTTTCAGCTTCCAATATCATCTTCGGAGGTTCTAACATTAGAGTCTTGAAATGCCTATCAACTCAGTTTTTCTGTTGAGTTGCTACTGTGTCATTTTCTAAGGTACGCTAATTTAGCTATGTATAAGTTTGATAGTGTTTATACTCTTTATCTTTATATATGTTTGCACATATATGATAAATGATTCATATAGAGTCAGTGGTACGTATAGAAACTTTAACTACTTAATGTTGAGAGTTGACCATATTGTATTTTAACATACACATGTACTTATTGTTGTGTGGAAATCGTGACTTTTTCCTATAAAAGAGTGAGATTATCTTTTGTTGCTCAGTCAACTACACATATCGGGAGATTTCATGATTTCATGTATGTATAAGTTATAATGTTCACAATATGAGAATTTTGATGTATTTCAATTGTAATATATTTGTGTTATGTGTACAAGAACACATCGGCACTTGATTCAAAGCTTGCAGGATTCACATTGCATCGGCTCTGAAAAATCTTATCTTATTATATATATATTTATACAAGATTCACTACCTTATTTATTTATTTTTGACTGTGAGAGAAATATGACAATAAAAGAAAAACAGGTTTCTTGCAGGTCTCCTGGATATGCTCCAGTTCCACCGTCTTATAGTCAAGTGGCCAGTTCTGCCAATGTGCTCTCAAATGGGGAACGAGCATTGAGTAAATAATTATTGCATGATCAATTAGCATATGTACCCTTTGCTCAATATCCACAATTTGTTTTCTCCTTTTTCAATATCCAGGTGCTAACGACCTTGGTATTCCAAAGGCTCAACTTGAGGCCCATTAGATATCTTTACAGCAACAAATTGAGGTATTAAAGTTTCTAACTTTATTGATATCTTTATTTATTATGCATCTATTATACATTATAATCAGTAGTTGTAGGTACATTTATAGCTGCTGGTACACCTGAAAGAGTACAAAATTGTGAACTGAAAGGTGATTTTTAGTAGTCAAAATAGGACTACGTTTATCAGAAACAGAAGGTGGATTTATCTATTATCAATTCAGGCAAGAGGAGGGAAAAAGGGATAGGAATGACTTTTTTTTAATGAGAATTGCAATATGATCCTAGGAATAACTTATCTAATAAGATTAGCATATGATTCCTTTTCAAATACTCATATTTCAAGTGTTTCAATTACTTTAAAAAATTATACTAAAATGTTGATGCACTATTTTATTTTATTTTTATCCAATCTTGTGACTTTTTTTTTGTCAAAGATAAGTGTAAGATAGTTTTTCACGTTATGTCCGATTATGATATTCTCTATTGTTTTGACTGCTTTCTTGTGTGTAAGACCCCTAATGTTCTTTAAACATACTTTTGGTACTCTGATTAGGGTATAAAGAAAGCCTAATTCTTTTACTTAACTAAGATATTTAAGAAGAATTGACGATTGGATTGTTTGAAAGAAAAATCTGAAAATACCATCTTCGTGCAAGAACTCAGAGGCAAGGAAGTACATATTAAATGAACTCAATGGCACTGCGAGTAAACACCAAGCATGTATGTTATCAGTTTCGATTTCTTCCATCCTATGTTTCTGTCATGTTTTTTTTTTTTCTGATCTGAAAAATACTTGCATAGCTTTAGGTCGTGAAATGTGACATACAACTCATATGGAGTCGAATTCTTTTGATACTGCAATTGATTTAGCTGTGCCTACGCTCAAAGGTTTCCACTATTTGACCATTATAAGGTGAATAATTTTATTTCCCCTTGATGAAATTCAATCCACTCGTGTGAATATGATTGTTATATTTTCCGTCTCATTACTTATTTAATAGTAGCTATTATGTTGCAATATTTGAAGTCAAAGAGGCACTAAATAGATTAGAAGAAAATATTTTAAAAACTAACTCTCTATATTTCAGAGCTTTAAGATTTATAAAGATAACTTTTGGATATTTTGAAAATTAATGATAAGAGTAGTAGTTGAGGCAAGGAAATGGATGGGGAGGTAAGTCAGAAAAAAAGGATAAGGAAAAAGGACCTTAACTTTGAAAACTCAAATGGAAAGCTCAAACTAACTAATGTCAAGGGTCAAGGAAAAGGGACCTTAACTTTGAAAACTCAAATGGAAAGCACAAACTAACTAATGTCAAGGGTTGGAGATAGAGAGTGATGAAGGGCGAAGAGGAACTCGGTAGCTTGCTCCAAACAAGTTTCAGAGATGTAGAAGCCAAAGGCAATCTCAAGCCATTTGGGTGAACACAAATAGTTTGTTATTATCTCCTGATCACTTAACTACTCCTTGAAATATTTCTTCTAATGATTCTCTTAATTTATAGCAGGAGCAACCTCAGCCCCTTTAACTACTCTTCGAGACTATTTCACAAAATTTACGTGTGGGTTTATCTACTAAGAAAAGGATTTTGATGAACTTGTAAATTGGCTGATATTTTATACTGTACATGAAATATAAACTTTTCTCACTATTTCATTAGAGTAATGCTAATGTATATCAATATTTACTATTAATCAATATCTCCAATGAACTTATACTGACATTTTCCATTACCCTTTTCTTTAACATTTTGCCACAGACACCATGTAGTTTAACTTTCCAATTAAGAAATGAAAGTATTCCATAGAGGTGGACTTCTGGTCATGCTCATGTATTATGTTAATGCCATTTGACCTAGAAGATGAAATAGATGACTGTTTTCCTTTATCTCGATTAATGTCTTAGATTTCGGGACAACACCATTAATAAACTTAAAAATATATCACCCTTGATTCTCTCTTGATTTAGTAAAAGATGGTTCATCTGCTAAGTCTATTTTGGTAAAGAACAATAAACCTTGCCCAAAAATTTATCTTGTTTGTAGCTCACTCTATTGTTGAATCAAGAATTTGGATTATATTTTTATCCTATTTACGTGTGTTTTGTAGGTTCATTATAGAAAACAAGTTCAAGCTCTCTTTCTCCTATATAAAATAACTGCAATGAATCATATTGTTACAATATGTTTTGTCGTGCAATCTATGCTAAACTCCTTCCAGTTTCTATGAATTCTTCCAAAGTAAGTAGAGTTATTGTCATTCTCTTATCTTTATTATATATAGTAACATACAACAAGAGGCCCTTTCACGTATCACTGTTGCTCATCTTTGTTTCGCCCTTAAAAGCAAGATATCAAGGTTAAAATGAATTTCAAAATTATAAGTCAGCAGTTCCCTACTCTATGTGTGGTGGGATGGTGCACTGGAAAAGGAAATGTATATGAGGCATAAACTTTTGTCATAACCGATGATGTTAGACTTTGTAATTTTAAAATCAGATGCACATCTGAATACACTATGATCCTGATGTTATGGGGATGACAAATAATGCCATTGTAGCTGATTGTTGAGTTTTTACTTTTGAGAATGCTTGGTGAGACATTTCAAGCAGAAGCCATGTATCTGAAAGAAATTGGTGTTGAAGCTAGGAGGTTGAGTGTTGTAAAGTGTATAAGTTTCATGTTAAAAGGAATTTGTCATTTTCTGTTGTAAATAACGTAATGTCTGCAGTCCATTGATTGTTTTGACATAAAAGGATGATGAGACTGATAGTGTGCAGTTGTTGCTAGCTTTTACTGAGTAGTCAAAAGTAGAGAAGTCTCCACAAAATGTAACCGATCAGGAGATTCTTGAAATGTAATGTCAAGGTGGGACACCATTCATGTCTTTGTGATTGATTTATGAAGATGTTGAATCATACTACATCCTGTAGAAAATGGTTAAAATGTATTCCTTTTATCATTGTTATTCTTCTTTTGCAATTGAACAAAAGGTTAGGTCTCTAGATTTAATAGTTCAGGTAGATGTACCATTAAAAAAGTTTTGAAGGGGAGTCATTTTCCTTAAATTTGAGGAAAATTAGTTGATTTTCCAAAAAACATTTAGCCCAACCTAACATGAGAAAATTGGAAAACATTTTCCCTTCATACCAAACACACCCTAAATTTACAAGATCTAAAAAAAAAGAGCACGTTGGTGACCGATGTCGGCAATAGCAATTTTGAGTCTCACCATTTAATGTACTTTTACTAAACAAACAAAAACAATGTAACTATAGAAAACACTTCATTAATATGTTATTCATGTCAACATTTCTATTTGTTGTTCTTCTCTATTCTTACGTGGGTTCTTTTCTTCTTTTGTGAAGATATCGATTTATTGGATGGAGAAGACTTAGCATAGAGATAATAAAAATATCAACTTTTGATTTTGTCAAATAAAATTTGTGACTTAAGTTATTGTGATTGATTTGGAAAATTTACATTGATGATTTGCTTGGCTTGGTATGAATGCATAGTAATATGTACAAGAACCATTCACAATATATTTCTGCGAAGCTCGACAATGTTCCTACCAACATTATTTAGAAATATTTATTACTATTTCAGATCTCAATTATATTTTTAAGAAAGATTTAAACAAATAAAATTATATAAAATTTAAAATGTTGGGCCTGTGCTGAGCACGGGCAAGAATCATCTAGTATTAGTATAAGTGGGAAGCTCCAACATTCAAAGTTGGATTATCATTTTTCCCTAGATTTCTTTCTTTTCATCGATTTTCTTCTTCTACCTTATATGTGGTATCTCGATATGTTTTCTTCGTCATATTTGTTTTCTTCTTTTCTTTCATCAATTTTCTTCTTTTTGTTTGTATACTTCTTTTGATTCATCATTCTAGCTTATATCTAGTATCTCTTTTTATTAATAAAATATTAAAAGTTATTTATCAGTAATAGAAATCTTTCATCTCCCCATTAATTAACCTAATACAGATTACTTGAACTCAATTTACAATCCTACTATTTCATATCTCACATTTACTATTTTTTCCCTTGAGCTTCCAAAAGTTATGTGAACTTTTCATGTTCCTTGTCAAATAGAATTGGAGTAATATATAGTGCATGTGCAGTGATTTTCTACAACTCAAGTCACATTAATCTTTCATCTTTAAGCTTTATATAATATATAGATTAGCAGCTATATGCCATAAAAGTTTGAATATATAAATATATATTGTTGATTGGTAACTGCTTTATTCCTCTTATGCTCATTTTAGTTCTCAACAATATATAATTAATATATGAAGATTTGCTAGAGTTTGCTAACTAATTCTTATTTATTTCTCTACATTTCAGATTTTATTTGGCAACTGTGCGCTCTTCACATCTCATCATCAGGTACATAATGGATATGCTATTTACAACTCTCTTTTTTATCAATTTTATTATTTCACATACATAAAATATAGTTTGTAGGAAACGTGATATAGAAATAAGATTTTTGAGATTTGAGAAATTGTCTGTATAATTTTCAAGATATTTAGATCTTATACTTTTTAACATCTTTTACATATTTTAACTTTTTATATCAAGTCCCTTATTCTTTACTAAGGATCGATTCTTATTATATTTCGTAATGCAATTATACTTAAACAATACAAGTAATACTCTTATGTCAAATTTTCATATGAAAGAAAATGTTCTTGAATAGAGAGATTGATTCTTATTATATTTCGTAATACGATTATATTTCAACCATACAAATAATATTCTTATGTTAAAGAAATCATAATCTTGAATCAAAGAAAGGATACATGTAGGTGCAATGATAATTAATATATGTTGATTCAATTTTTTGATGTCAGTAATAATTAATTATCTTCGTCATAATATAATTCTTACTTTTTTACTAGGTGTATACTATAGACAATGATATTCTAGCCATATTAAAGAAGACATATGTTGATCAACTTTTTGTTCAACATTTACAAAATACTACTTTCATATATTCGACAACAACTTCTTGTTATGCATACATAAGAGGAGGAATTCCTAATTTCTGAAAGTCATGACATAAGTTTTAATATGTGAAGCATTTGAAAACATAACCAACCTTGCTTATGTTCACATTTAAACTATTAGGTGTTCCTATCAAAAAACATGAAAAGTGAATTAATATTTTAAATTTCAACAATTTCTATTTTATAATTCAATTTTTAAAATATAAAGAAGTTTTATAATAATAATAATATGGGACAAACGTACAAAGCACGTTCCCAAAGACTAGTATTATTAAAAGTGGGAAGCCTCAAGTTACAAAGTTGAATTACCATTTTGTCCCTATACTAAATTAAAATATTATAAAATATCTAATTAATTAAATATTAAATATGCCTAAATTGCTAAGTTGATTCACTTATTGTTAAAATAAAGTAGGAGAATGAAGAGTTGTAAAAATAATTAATTACTCCCTCCGTCCACAATTGTTTGGCAGGTATACTAAAAATAGATGTCCAAGATTAATTGTCAATTTAAACAATCAAGAAATAATTAGTCAATTTTTTCCAATTCTGCCCTTAATGATAGTGTAGTTCAATTGAAAAGTTATGTGGACTTTTGGTATTCTTGGTATAGTAGGGTTATATTAATCAAATTACACCTTATATTAAATTTTCCTTGAGGGATGTGCATGACCTTACCCTGACAAACAATTGTGGACGGAGGGAGTATAAAGTTACGAAAAACTATTAGAGAAACTTTTCGTTTTCTATCTGATCAGTTTTAGGTGTAATTTTTATCATAATGTGTATTAATGCCACACCTCCACTATCTCATCATTAATCTTCACACCTTGATAATCTTCCCACACTCTCAAGAAATTAATGGCATGATTATGATACCTTTTGATTTTACTCAATGATGTCCTATAAATTGTGGTATTTGAAACAACAATCTATACACTTTGAAAAGACTTAGGTACACTTTGGAAGAAATAAAAAAAATTGTCTATATTTCTATTGTTTTTATCCTTCAGTATTTATATCACTTTTAGCTTCAGTTCATAACACTGATCACTAATTCTCCTTATATTCGTTTGTTGTTTACAGAAAGGAAATGTGTACAAATTGTTACATCTTCTAATGGAGTTTACAACGAGAGAAGGGATGTTGAAATCTTCCCGGAGGTTGAAATCAATCTTTAAAAGAACAAGTTGAACTTTAAGCAACTTTATTGATAACCATGACCAATTTCATGTTCTATGAAGAAATTACACTATTCCTATATTTGTTATTTCCTTTTTTTTTTTATCAGATTTGATATTTCAAATCCTTGAATGAATTCTACTGTAACGGTTTGTTCATATTTATGATAATTTATTTAATATTATGTTGACATTAGATATTATTGTACGAAAATGTTTTGTTTGGGACCTAAAGCCGGCGATTTCTTCATACTTAAAGCTTTGAACATCTAGATTATATATATAAACAATGGTTGTTGCATGACCTACCAATAAAAATAAATTTATTCATGTAAAAATCTAAGTTGCAAATAAAAACATTTTAATTTTCGTAGTATATTCATGCTTTAGATAAGTTATTTTTTATTTTTTATGTATAATTATTATTATTTTAAAAAATTTCCTTGTTATCATATCAAATATCATATTTTTTTCCTGTTGTTTTTAACACGTCATGAGATCAAAAGAGAATTATTAAGAAATTGCAATCGAAGTTTGTAATTAAAGATGTTTTGATCTAATATATATATACTCAACAGTTAACACAATATACCGCTACGAGTGTAAATCACATCTAGCCAACCGTTTGATGCAATGTTAATTAATTTTGTTTAGCTTTGGTTGCATGTTATATTATTGTTGGTTTGGCAATTGTCATTTTAAAGAAAATTATTAGCTTGTAGACTTCACAATTTATAATGTGTTTTAGTTTCTATTTGAGGAATCAATTATTGAATAGGCAATGAGAAAATCGCCTTTCGTGATTCAAGTAGTAAGCTCGGATTCATGATTGAGAAAGGAATTTTTCAAGTGCAATTTGAAATTTTCTACTATTCTTAACATCTCATTATAAAGAAATTTTTTTAATTATTTTATTTGATTAAATATAGTTCTTGCAAAATATAACACGATAATAATGTTTCAATTAGTAGTTCAATACAAACTTTATAAAATAGAAATATAATTAAAAATTAAACTAATCTAACAGTTTCTTAAAATTCATCCTTTAACTATAATTCTCCAAATTAAGAAATTTGCAAACATGAGATGAGAGTTTTAAATAAATTTTACCTCTTTCAAGTGTTGGATAGTCATGACATCATAAATATTGAAGGGGTGTCACTCATTAACGATTTTAATTTTTGTGAAGTGAAGAAAGGGGTGACAATTTAAAATAATGTGGGATTATCTTATATCTGAGTATACAAGAAATCACATTTTAAATGTCTAAACCACTTAATTATAAATTTACTAGAGATAAAGAAGAGTTTATTCTTATATGCACATGTATATCATTCTTTAATACCAAATTTCTAACAATCCATCATTATTATATTGAGGGCCTTCAAAAGCAATAATCATTCTATTAAATACTAATATTATAATTTTGTGAAAGACAAAATTAAATATAATCATAATCGTAATAAATATTATATTAGATATAAATATATCATAATATTGTTGCATCTATACCACATATTTGTTCTTAAAAATACAAACAATAAACTCTCTAAATATTGTGCAAGCCTAAGTTAACTTAACAAGTTAAATTTTTTAGGTTTACATAAACAACCTACCGATTACAACTCATGAAACACCTAGACTATTGTAAAAAATAATATATATATATATATAATATTTGAATGAATCAACATAGATTAACATGGGACGCACGTGTCCAAAACTAGTATATATATAGTCGTAAGTCGTTCATACTACTTGGAGTCATATACTGTTTGTTCTTCAGAGTCTTTAATATGTTTTGGATGTTTGAATAATATTAAGAAATATAATTAAAGATCAAACCTGAGGGCAGGAAAGGTCATTGTATGTTCTTATGGGTTTCCGGTATTAAAATAACTTTGCATAACTTATGCGGAGTTTAATATCAGAAATCAACGTTGTATTATTTATTCAGAGAATACGTTAGTTACTAAATTTTACACTCAAAACTAGACATTGAATAAGTAATTTTTCTCATTCTTTAAACCAAACGCACCCCGTAAGTGGTTAAGTCAAGGTTGTGAATAATATAGGATGAGATATAATATATAGTTTGCTTATAGGAGTACTAATTATTTAATGTAGCTTAATAATTAGGGAATCTCAATAACTTGTGTTAGAATAATATGATTGTATGACATAGGAACTGTAGCCAATTAGAGGAGACAAAAGATTCTGGTGGAAAAATAATATTCTACACCAAGGATTGCTATATAATGGTGTAACTTTGGCAACAAAACATATAAAACATATGGAGGAGCACATTTTCTTATTGATTTTTCTCTTTTTCTCTGCTTTTGTATCAGCTGCACCCTCAAATGAGACAGACCAAGAAGCTCTACTAGCTTTTCAAAATCTTATTACAAGTCCCAATCATTTTTTGGCCAATAATTGGACCAAGAATGCGTCTTTTTGCTCTTGGTTCGGTGTCACGTGCAGTTCAAAAAGGCAACGGGTTGTAGCCTTGAATCTTCCTAATTTACAACTTCAAGGCACAATTTCTCCTTCTTTGGCCAATTTGTCCTTTCTCAGAGAGCTCAATCTCGAGAACAACTTATTCCATGGGGGCATCCCTTATGGGCTTGGCCACTTGCCTCGCTTGCGTGTGATTGATGTTAAAAACAATCAGCTCAACGGAAGTATACCAACAAGTCTATTTCAAAACCGTAGAGTTCAAGTAATTTCATTGGCTTTCAATGAACTCAGTGGTGAAATGTGGAGAGGGCCATGGTATGTACCTGAACTCAGAGTCTTAAATCTCAGGAATAATAGCCTCACAGGTATAATTCCTCCTGCTATTGGAAATGCCACAAAGTTGCTGAACTTTAGTTTGTCTGTTAATAGAATCAGCGGCAACATTCCTAAGGAGATCGTTAATCTGAGCCAGCTTGCAGTTTTGTCCTTGACTGATAATCAATTAACAGGTCCCATTCCTGAAGCATTGTTTAATATCTCGTCACTACTTTCTGTATCTCTGGGAAAGAACAGCCTATCTGGTCCTCTCTTGGTTGAAAAAGGAAATATTTTATCACATCTGGAGAGGTTAAGTTTAACTCACAATCAAATTTCTGGTCGAATTCCTTCCAACATCTGCCAACTCATACAACTTAAAATATTGTCCATATCTTTCAACAACATAACTGGAGAAATACCCAAAAATATTGATTGTTTAACGAAGCTCGAGGAGTTTTATATTGGTAATAATCCAATAGATGGGACTATTCCCACTTCATTGGGAAATATTTCCACTCTGCGAAATCTTTACTGCGGAAGCAATAGCTTGGAGGGGCCAATTCCTCCAGAACTGGGTAAGCTATCAAATTTGATAGAATTCGATTTTGAAGAAAATTATAATCTTATAGGTCAGATTCCAGAGGCTATTTTTAATATATCTTCTTTGAAACACATTGCGTTAACTTTGAACAAACTCTCGGGGAGAATTCCAACCTCTACTGGTCTTCATCTTCCAAACCTCTTAGAACTTCACTTGACTGGCAATGAGCTTGAAGGGGAAATTCCTCCGCATATCACAAATGCCTCCAAGCTTGAAAATTTGGGGTTAGCACACAACTTCTTCAGTGGCACTATTCCAACTCATTGGGGAAGTCTTCCTGATCTGCGATTTCTTTTCCTACATGATAATCAACTTACCAGTGAACATGAGTTGCCGTTCTTCGAATCTTTGGCAGACTGTAGGATGTTGCAATATCTAGATGTGGGTTACAATCCATTGAATAGCATTCTGCCAAATTCAATAGGGAATCTTTCATCTACTATTGAATTCTTTGAAATAAGCGATGCTCACATCAATGGCCTCATCCCCACAAGTATAGGCAACATGAGTGGTCTTACAACCTTAGTCTTTCAAGATAACAACTTTACTGGAAATATTCCTCCTGAGTTTGGTAAGCTTAAACAACTCCAAGGGCTGTATCTAAATAACAATAAATTGAAGGGACATGTTCCTGAGGCAGTATGAAATTTATCTAATTTGGGTCGATTATATCTGCAAGGCAATGAGCTCTTTGGTTTAATTCCAGCATGTATAGGAAATCTTAGCATGCTACAACATCTTTATTTAGATTCTAATAAATTTTCATCAAAATTTCCGTTGAGTCTTTGGAAAATGAGTGGTCTTCTCTTTCTAAGTGTGTCACAAAATTCTATAGAGGGAGAAGTTCCATCAGATATTGGAGAACTGAAGGCAATTGTAGAACTAGATATTTCTGGTAATCACTTTTCAGGAATGATACCAAGAAATTTGGGTGACCTCCAAAACCTGCAGTCTCTTGCCCTGTCAAACAATTCATTTTCTGGCCAAATTCCATTATCCTTTGCCAACCTAATAAGCTTGCAATTCTTGGATTTGTCTTTAAATGCGTTGTCAGGTACTATTCCTAAGTCTTTGGAAAAACTCCCCCTTAAAAACATCAATGTTTCATTTAATGAATTAGAAGGTGAAATACCCAGTGGTGGTGTGTTTTCAAATTCCACTCTGCAATCATTTCTTGGGAACAGAGGTCTATGTGGAGCGCACATATTGGAGATTCCTGCTTGTGTTGCAACTCACTAATCCTGGACAACAATCAAACCTTAAGGAGGTTGTGGTAAAAATTGTTACTCCAGTGATTATTTCATCCTTTGTGATACTCTTGTTGGTCTCAATTTGGATAATGAAATGGCAGAAGAAAGGAAAGTCTGAAGATGTTGAAAAGGTACCAGAGATCAAGACTTTTCAATTGATTTCCTATCATGAGATTCAACGAGCAACAAATAATTTTGATGTATCAAATTTAATTGGTGTGGGAGGTTCTAGCTCAGTGTACAAAGGCACATTATTTAGTGGAGTTGTGGTTGCAATAAAGGTTCTGGATTTAGAAAATGAGCATGTATGCAAGAGATTTGATACTGAATGTGAAGTGATTAGAAATGTTAGGCACAGAAATCTTGTTTCGGTTATTACTACTTGTTCCAGTGATCATATAAGAGCCTTTGTTCTGCAATTTATGTCCAATGGAAGTCTTGATAATTGGTTGTACAGAGAAGATCGCCACTTGAACCTTCTTCAAAGAATCACCGTAATGCTTGATGTGGCTATGGCCATTGAATATCTACACCATGGTCATGATACTCCGATTGTTCATTGCGACCTAAAACCAGCCAACGTTTTTTTGGGTGAAGATATGGTGGCTCGTGTTGGTGATTTTGGCATCTCTAAAATTTTAGCTGTAAGCAAGTCCGTGGCACATACAGAGACATTGGGCACTCTTGGTTATATTGCACCAGGTACGTATACTACTCTCTTCCTTCTAATTAGACATGAACCCTCTCTCTTTGATTTTCTCTTATCAAAATGAAGCCGTTCCAAGTGGTAGAACTATATAAAAAGTAAGTCTTTTCTAGTACAAGCATTATTGTTTTATTTCAAGTGAGTAATTTTTTCCATTTTCATTCTTGTAAGAATATGGCTCGGAAGGAATAGTGTCCGCTAGTGGTGATGTTTATAGCTATGGCATCATGCTAATGGAGGTTTTGGCAAAAAGAAGGCCAACTGATGAAGAGATATTCAATGAAAATCTTGGGTTGAGGGAGTGGATAAGGCGAGCATTTCCAAATACTATGTTGGAAGTTGTGGATGCCAATCTTTTTCCTGAGAGAGAACAAATTACTTCCAAAAGTGAAATCTGCATAGCCTCCATGATAGAATTGGCTTTACATTGCACAAAGGAAACGCCAGAATCAAGAATAACCATGAAAGATGTCGTAAAGAGGCTTAACAAAATCAAGAATGCATTTTGGGAAATGTAAAAGTTACCATCTCTTCTGTTGGTGTTCTTTTTTAGCTGCAAGTTAATATGTTGCATTTCCCTCATTTTGTGATTTCAGATTTTAGTGGTTTCAGAATTAAATGAGAAATATAATGAATGTGTAGTGTTGCACCTCTTTTTTCTCTCCTTCATATGTTGATTCATTAGTTCTTCTGTTATATTAAACTATTTGCTAAATGGAAATGCTTAGTTGGACTCCGTGAATTTTGCAGGTGAATGAAGGGCCAGATCTAGTGATTCAACATTTCTTACACAGTAAATACATGTAACGTAAACTCAAACTATTATTTTTATCACCCTTTTTTAGTATTTATTCAGTTTAAGAGCCTAACTGTTCGGCAATGGGCATAGCGTAAAAGATATTTACTGTTACACCCATGATAGAACGCAGGTTAGGATCAAGAAGGATGAAATTGCCAAAGGCAATGGTTGACGAACGCAAAGATCAAATAAGCCAGGAAAATTTTCAGCTTTAATCTTAGTGTCCTAAAATTGCAGACGAAGAAACAAAAGTCAGAGGGAACTTCAAGGATCCATATTATAGCAATTCAGCTAGTAATAGATCATTAAATTTCCAAGAGTTGGTAACCTCAAAATGACATATAGTGATGGATCATTAAATTGGCATTTGTATTTTCATCTTTGATGTTTTCATACTATGCTACACAAATATGGTCATTTATCATAAGAATAAAACTTTGATCGCCAGAGATCTCCAAAGACCTCTAATATGGTATTCGTAATTACATGTAGTCCTATAATCTTGCTCTATACTCTCTGAGTAAGAAAGTAATTTACTAATTGATATAAAGATCAAACCTGAGAGCAAAATGGTCTGTAGCTGCACAACTGGACACTATTTTTTTATTCAATTCCATATGAATGCAACATATTCAGTCGTATAATTTGGTAAGTCTTAATTAAGTCACATGGATAGTGAAACTCATATAGTCGACCACAACTAACTTGGAACTGAAGTGTACTCATTGTTCTAGTACAAAACAAGTAATGTCATCTATTTTGTTATGATCTATTGTGATATCTCAGAACAGAATGTTCTTATAGTAATCACACGGTGATCGACTGAGCATAATCAAACTTACGATTATCAAGTTAGCAGATTTCATGCATCATGTACTAATAAAATGAGTACAAATTTATAATCGTCTGGCTTGAAACGTTAAATTGCGTATTTTTTTAAAACAAAATTAGAGAGTTGAAGTGTTTGATTTTAAGTTTTTGAGTAGGCTAGTACTCAAAAGTAAAAAAAAATAGTATTTTTTTCCTGGAACCACTTTTGGAGCATTGGTCAAGTATTGTAAAATATTTTTATAATTGATTAATCGAATATAAATTATTTTTCTCCAAAAATACTTTTAAAAAAGAACCTTTTTTTTTTTTGCCAGTAAGTGATTCCCATTGACTTGAGCTATGAAACAGCTTGTCTGGACTGCATAATTTCCCATTGACTTAGTTCTGAACCATGTAAATATGAAGAGTTCCTATTTTTCTCAATGCAAGTTGATTGACTATCAAGGCCACCCCATCCCACCCTCTTTTGGAAAGGTATTAGGAAGTAAGGGTTAAGTGTGGGACTGCTGCAAGTGACTCAAGTGAAGTGGACAGGTTCTTTTTCCTTTAGCTGCTTATTTTCCTTCTTTTCATCTGTTTTCACATTAATCTACTTGATACTTATTTTCCTCCTCCGTATTAATCTGCTTTCACATTTTTGAAATAATGTAGTCTATCCTTTTCAACAATTTACATATATAGTGGAGTATAACTTTGATCTTTGGCAAGACCACACACACAGAAAACATTCTATTTCCAGTGCATAGTAACAGCATGGAGAAGCACATTTTTTTATTGACTCTTCTCTTTCTAGTTCCATTTTCTATATCAATTGCTTCCTCAAATGATACGGACCAAGAAGCTCTACTAGCTTTTCAAAATCTTATTACAAATCCGAATCATTTTTTGGCCAATAATTGGACCAAAAATACTTCTCTTTGCTCTTGGTTTGGTGTCACTTGCAGTTCAAAAACGCAAAGGGTTGTGGCCTTGGCTCTTCCTAATTTGCAACTTCAAGGCACAATATCCCCGTCTTTGGCCAATTTGTCCTTTCTCAGAGAGCTCAATCTCGAGAATAACTTATTCCATGGTGGCGTACCATACAGACTTGGCCACTTGCCTCGCTTGCGAGTGATTATTGTTCGAAACAATCAGCTAGAAGGAAGTATTCCGACAAGTCTATTTCAACACCAGAGAGTTCAAATCATTTCATTGGCTTACAATAAACTCAGTGGTGAAATGTGGAAAGGGCCATGGTATGTACCCGAACTCAGAGTCCTAAGTCTCAGGAATAATAGCCTCACAGGTATAATCCCTTCTTCTGTTGGAAATGCCACAAAGTTGCTGAACTTCAGTTTGTCTGGGAATAGAATCAATGGTATCATTCCAACTGAGATTGGTAATCTTAGCCAACTTATAGAGTTGCATTTGTTCAATAATCAATTAGCAGGTTCCATTCCCGCAACACTGTTTAATATTTCGTCGCTAATTAGAGCATCTCTAGCAAGCAATAGCCTTTCTGGTCCTCTCTTACTTGATGAAGGGAATATTGTGTCAAATCTGAAGTATCTAAGTATATCTAAGAACCAAATTTCTGGTTGCATTCCTTCTAACATATGCCAACTCACAGAGCTCAAAATTTTGTCCATATCTTATAACAATATGATTGGAAAAATACCCAGAAATATTGGTTGTTTATCCAAAATCGAGGAGTTTTATATTGGAAATAATCCAATAACAGGGACTATTCCCACTTCATTGGGTAATATTTCCACTCTGCGGAATCTTTATTGTGGAAACAGTCGCATAGTAGGGCAAATTCCAAAGGCTATTTTTAACCTATCTTCTTCGGAAATGATTGATTGCAGTTACAGTAACCTCTCGGGTAGAATTCCAACCACATCAGGTCTTCATGTTCAGAACCTTAAAGAACTTTTCTTGGGACACAATCGGCTCGAAGGGGAAATTCCATTGTTCATAGCAAATGCTTCCAAGCTTGAGATATTGGGGCTAGAAAATAACTTTCTCACTGGCACTATTCCTACTAATTTGGGGAATCTCCGTGAGCTGCAAGAACTGTTCCTACATGATAATCAACTTACCAATGAACCAAGAGAGCATGAGTTGCAATTCTTCAATTCTTTGGCGGACTGTAGGATGTTGCGATATCTACAAGTGGGTTCCAATCCGTTGAATGGCATTCTGCCCAATTCTATTGGGAATCTTTCATCTACTATTGAAAACTTTCATATAGAAGATGCACACATCAATGGCCCCATCCCCAGGGGCTTACTCAACATGAGCGGTCTAATAGCCCTAAACCTTGGAGAAAACAACTTGGCGGGAAGTATTCCTTCTGATGTTGTTAAGCTTGAACAACTCCAAGGTCTGTATCTAAATAACAATAAATTGCAGGGACATATTCCAGAGGCAGTATGCCATTTATCTAATTTGGTTCAATTAAGTCTGGGTGGTAATGAGCTCTTTGGATTAATTCCAGAATGTTTAGGAAATCTTAGCATGCTACAAGCCATTATGTTGAGTTCTAACAAATTTTCATCCAAGATTCCTTTGAGCATTTGGAAGATGAGTAGTCTTCTCTATCTAATCATGTCACAAAATTCTATAGAGGGAGAAGTTCCACAGGATATTGGAGGACTGAATGCCATTGTAGGACTAGATCTTTCTGGTAACCACTTTTCAGGCATGATACCAAGCCAATTGGGGGACCTCCAAAACATGAATACTCTTGACCTGTCAAACAATTCATTTTCAGGCTCAATTCCATTATCCTTTGCCAACTTGATAAGCTTAGAATACTTGGATTTGTCTTTAAATGTGTTGTCAGGTACTATTCCCAAGTCTTTGGAAAAGCTATTATACCTTAAAAGCATTAATGTTTCATTTAATGATTTAGAAGGTGTAATACCCAGTGGTGGTGTGTTTGCGAATTCCACTCTGCAATCATTTATTGGGAACAAAGGTCTATGTGGAATGCACATAATGGAGATTCCTGCTTGTGCTATCACTACAACTGGACAACAATCAAAGTCTAAGAAGCTTGTGCTTAAAATTGTTATTCCAGTGGTTGCTGCTTCTTTTCTGATATTTTTGTTTGCTATAGTTTGGATAATGAAACGACAGAAGAAAGCAAACTCCAAAGATGTGGAAAAGGTACCGGAGATCAGGACTTATCAATTGGTTTCTTATCACGAGATTCAACAAGCAACAAATAATTTTGATGGATCCAATTTAATTGGTGTGGGAGGTTCGGGCTCTGTGTACAAAGGTATATTATCTAGTGGAACTGTGGTGGCAATAAAGGTTCTCGATTTGCAAAATGAGGAAGTATGCAAGAGGTTTGATACTGAATGTGAAGTGATGAGAAATGTTAGGCACAGAAATCTTATTCCAGTGATTACTACTTGTTCTAGTGAATACATAAGAGCCTTTCTTCTACAGTATATGCCCAATGGAAGTCTTGAGCGTTGGTTGTACAGAGAAGATCGCCACTTGAACCTTCTTCAAAGAGTCACCATAATGCTTGATGTGGCTCAGGCAATTGAATATCTACACCATGGTCATGAAACTTTGATAGTTCATTGCGACCTAAAGCCAGCCAATGTTCTTTTGGACGAAGAAATGGTGGCACATGTCGGTGATTTTGGGATCTCAAAAATATTAGCTGCAAGCAAGTCCATGGCACATACTGAGACATTAGGCACTCTTGGTTACATTGCACCAGGTACGTACACTAGTCTTATCCCTTTTCACTTATCATTAACCTTTTCTCTAATCAAAATTAAGCTCTTTCGATTTCTAGAAATATATAAAAATCAAGTCTTTGATTGTAAAAAACAATTATTATCTTTCGACTATAATTTATATTTTTTTCATTCTTCTAAAGAATATGGCTTGGAAGGAAGAGTGTCCAGTAGTGGTGATGTTTACAGCTATGGCATCATGATGATAGAGGTATTGACAAAAAGAAGACCAACTGATGACGAGATATTCAATGAAAATCTTGGCTTGAGACAGTGGATAAGACAATCATTTCCCAAGACAATTATGGAAGTTGTGGATGTCAATTTTATTCATGAGGAAGAACATTTCAATTCAAAAAGTGAAATATGCATAGGCTCCATGATGGAATTGGCTTTGGATTGCACAAAGGAAATGCCAGAGTCAAGGATAACAATGAGAGACGTAGTCAAGAGGCTTGACAAAATTAAGAACACATTTTTGGGAACATAGAAATTAGCATCTTTTAAAGTGGTGTTCTTTTTTAGTTGAAGTTAATATGTTGATCAGCTTTTTCTGTTTAAATGGTTTATATAAGGAATGAAGTTCGAGGATTAAAATGGAGCAAGGTTGGGATGGAGTACCAAAATGAAATTTTGGTGCAAGTTAGAGGGGCTATCTATGTATTTGACCTTGTGTGAATGTACGTGTGTCTTGCTGTTCACATGGGTTCTATCAAACAGCTATAAATTTGAATACATTCTATGTTGTAGTTAATTTTTAAAATGTTATACAGCACAAAACTGAGCTGTGTTGATATGCAAATAAAGTACAAATAAAGGAAAGGATCCAATAATTTTCTGATTTGTCTTCGCATGTTACTATAGAGAGTTGGATATTATTGCCTTGAGGTGACCTGGTTGTGGTAAATCTTTTGCATAAACTTGAGTCGATGTTTATGTTTATTCAAGTTGGTCACCTTTTCCCAAGCTTTGGTAGACAAAATTATCGGTATTGATATTTGTGTGGTGATAAGATGTAGCAGATACCCACAAAATTAGTCAAGCCTGATAAAAAGAAGTTGTTAATCTTCATAAATGTTTGAGAAGGAACTAACCTGCTGCATAGTATGGATGAACATCAGGACCAACTGGACATTAAAAACTTCAAAGAACGTTTACTTCATGTGAACCCCATTTAATGCCCTTTTGTAAGGGTCAACTGAAGGACATATTGGCTTCATATTTACTGCAAGTCAACCACGGACAAGTTGTATTCGAGTCATTAGAAACTTTGTTTTATATTTATAAAATCACTCAACTTAAGCCTTTGTATCGACAAAATCACTCAACCAAATTTATCATTACAAAAAATTCATAATATGTATTAATTGACAATGACAAAAAGATGGTAAGTAATCTAATTTTTGGAAACATAATATTCGAAAGTAACTGCGGATGAAAGTGGTATTTACTGTATATAGATTGATTTCAAACTTTTAACATATAATTTTTACTTCTTTCCAAGTGTAGTTTCATGGTAAACACAAGTTGTAACAAGATTGGATAAAAATGTAAACCTACAGTTGCAGAAGCAGGAATAATAACACCGAAAACAATATTATTTTCATAAAGTCCATGCCTTGAAATAGGCTCACGAATATCATTGGAGGAGCAGCAATGATAAATACATCTTGACATTGAATTTGATCGACACAAAAATGATGAACTGACTCCCGTACTTCAAACGCCCTATTCTTTATTAGTGTGCTGAGCGCGAATGATGAGTTTTGATTTTAGTTTTGTAACTCAAGTGTAATGTTGGGAAGCTTGCAAGAAAATTATTGATTTATTCCTTTTTGAGAAATGATTTTCAATGAATACTATTTGTTTTATGTGTGTGAAATCGGATCGATAGACATTTGAGCAATTAGGGAAACTTGAGGAAGAACATCTAGTTTTTGTTGAAGAAGAAAAGAACAGAGTTTTGTGAGGTAAAGCAAGTTGCCCATGAGGCCCTGATATTGCCCAAATATTGCGGAATTGATCCTTCAAGTTGTTTCTCGCCAAATCTAGCATTACCAATGATATCAAATTGCAAATAGACGAAGGAATTTCTTCACTGAGATTATTATGGGATATGAAGAAGAATCTTGTGGAATAGGTGTGAACCTTGAAGCAAATTGGATCAAGAATCAATAGCATCTACAAATTGATTCCCATTGACTTGGTTTATGGACAACTTGTCTGAACTGCATGGATTTTCATTGACTTAGATCTGATTCTATCTTTCTCAATGCAAGTTGATTGGACTATCAAGGCCATTATAATTATTTCAATATCTTTTACACCGTCAGTTCACAGACCCCCCCACCCCACTTAAAAGATTGACTCTTAATATTAAGTAAAGATCTGTGTAAATATAGTAAGTTAATATTGTATTTGTCAGAGATGTAATATTCTATTAGATATTGTAGGATATGTTAATATAATATTCTGAGATTTTAGGAGTAGGACACTAAACTCATGTATATATATTCTTCCTTCATGTAATGAGATAATAGATCAAATTCTTCAAATTCTTATCTCTGTTTTTATACTTGACAATATAGCAAGATTAATTTCTTCTTTCTGTTATGAGTTAGCTACTATTGTCGACTATCAAGTGAAGTGGACAGATTCTTTTTCCTTTTGCTACTTATTTTAGTCCTTTTGATGTGTTTTCACATTACTCTTTTTGCTACTTATTTGATCTGTTCAGACATTAATCTTCTTACTACTTATTTTCCTCCTCCGTCTTAATCTGTTTTCATATTTTCAAAATATTGTGGAGCAACTTTGATCTTTGGCAAAACCACACACATAAATTAATTCAAGTTCCCTTTCCAGTGCATAGTAACAACATGAAGAAGCACATTTTTATATTGACTCTTCTCTTTCTAGTTCAATTTTCTATATCAATTGCCTCCTCAAATGAGACGGACCAAGAAGCTCTACTAGCTTTCCAAAATCTTATTACAAGTCCGAGTCATTTTTTGGCCAATAATTGGACCAAAAATACTTCTTTTTGCTATTGGTTTGGTGTCACTTGCACTCGAAAAAGGCAAAGGGTTGTGGCCTTGACTCTTCCTGATTTGCAACTTCAAGGCACAATTTCCCCGTCTTTGGCCAATTTGTCCTTTCTCAGCGTGCTCAATCTCCGGAACAACAACTTCCATGGCGGCATCCCTTACGGACTTGGCCACTTGCCTCGCTTGCGAGTGATTGATTTTCAAAACAATCAGCTCCAAGAAAGTATTCCAACAAGTCTATTTCAACACCAGAGAGTTCAAATCATTTCATTGGCTTTCAATAAACTCGGTGGTGAAATGTGGAAAGGGCCATGGTATGTACCCGAACTCACAGTTTTAAATCTCAGGAACAATAGCCTCACAGGTATAATACCTCCTTCTATTGGAAATGCCACAAAGTTGCTGAACTTCAGTTTGTATGGGAATAGAGTCAGCGGGAACATTCCAAAGGAAATCGGTAATCTCAGCCAACTTGAATTTTTGTCCTTGTTCGATAATCAATTAACAGGTTCTATTCCTGCAGCACTATTTAATATCTCCTCGCTTCTTGTCGCATCTCTAGCATTCAATAGCCTTTCCGGCCCTTTCTTGCTTGATGAAGGGAACGTTGTGTCAAATCTAGAGTCATTAACTATATCTAACAACCAAATTTCTGGTTACATTCCTTCCAACATTTGCCAACTCACAGAACTCAAAGCGTTGTCCATATCTTTCAACAAGATAACTGGAGGAATACCCAAAAATATTGGTTGTTTATCCAATCTCGAGGAGCTTTATATTGGTGACAATCCAATAAAAGGGACTATTCCCGCATCATTGGGAAATATTTCCACTCTGCAAAATCTTTATTGTGGAAGCAATCACTTGGAGGGGCCAATTCCTCCAGAATTGGGGAAGCTATCAAATTTGAGGCAAATTAGCTTTGTCCAAAATAATAATCTTATAGGTCATATTCCAAAGGCTATATTTAATATATCTTCTTTGGAAATAATCGATTTCAGTTACAATAACCTCTCGGGGAGAATTCCAACCACTACAGGTCTTCATCTTCCAAACCTTAAAGAACTTTTCTTGGGAGTCAATAAGATCCAAGGGGAAATTCCATTGTTCATATCAAACGCTTCCATGCTTGAGATACTGGGGCTAAACAGGAACTTCCTCACAGGCAATATTCCTACCAATTTAGGAAATCTTCGTGACCTGCGACGCTTATACTTAGAGGGTAATCAACTTACCAATGAACCAAATAATCATGAGTTGCAATTCTTTAATTCTTTAGTGGACTGTAGGAAGCTGCAATATCTAACAGTGGGTAACAATCCATTAAATGGTATTTTGCCCGATACTATTGGAAATCTTTCATCTACTATTGAATCAATTCACATGGGAAATGCACAAATCAGTGGCCTCATTCCCACAGGTATAGGAAACTTAAGCGGTCTAATGTCGCTAGCTTTTGTGGAAAACAACTTGATGGGAACCATTCCGTCTGAAGTCGGTAAGCTTGAACATCTCCAAGGTCTGTATCTATATAGCAACAAATTGCAAGGGAATATTCCAGAGGTAGTTTGTCATTTATCTTATTTGGTTACATTATCTTTGCATGTTAATGAGCTCTCTGGGGTGATCCCAAAATGTTTAGAAAATCTTACCACGCTACGAGTTCTTTCATTGAGTTCTAACAAATTTTCATCAAAGCTTCCTTTGAGTCTTTGGAAGATGAGTGGACTTCTCTATCTTTTCATGTCACGAAATTCTATAGAGGGAGAAGTTCCACAGGACATTGGAGGATTGAAGGCCATTGTAAAACTAGATCTTTCTGGTAACCACTTTTCCGGCATGATACCAAGCCAATTGGGGGACCTCCAAAACATGAAAGTTCTTGACCTGTCAAACAATTCATTTTCAGGCTCAATTCCCTTATCCTTTGCCAATTTGATAAGTCTAGAATACTTGAATTTGTCTTTCAACGCATTGTCAGGTACTATTCCTAAGTCTTTGGAAAAGCTTTCATACCTTAAAAGCATCAATGTCTCATTTAATGATTTAGATGGTGAGATACCTAGTGGAGGTGTGTTTTCAAATTCCACTTTGCAATCATTTCTTGGGAACAAAGGTCTATGTGGAGTACACATATTGGAGATTCCTGCTTGTGCTATCACTAATCCTAGAAAACAATCAAAATCTAAGGAGCTTGTGCTGAAAATTGTTATTCCAGTGGTTACTTCATCCTTTCTGATATTATTGGTTGTGTCAGCTTGGATAATAATGAAACAAAAGATGAAAGGAAAGTCCAAAGACTTGGAAAAGGTACCAGAGATCAGGACTTATCAATTGGTTTCTTATCATGAAATTCAACGAGCAACAAATAATTTTGATGGATCCAATTTAATTGGTACGGGAGGTTCTGGCTCTGTGTACAAAGGTACATTATCTAGTGGAA